ATGAATTATCAAACATTTTGTGTATATTTGTACCAGTAGCTTTACGTTTCATAATTTATAAACACGTATTACAAACACAATTTATCAGTCAGCTACTTCAATTCCTTAAAGTCAATTATTCATAAAATATTCATAGGTTTAAGGTAAACGAGTAGGTAATAACTTATCAGGTTAAAATATTACTGGATTTTAAAGTATTAATAAAAATAGCTAACGTTACTCTGGTTGTCCAAGCTCATATTATCAGTCTATTCTTCTACACGGGAATAGAGATGAGTTATTTTACATACAGCGCCACCTTTTTTCATTACCTCTCGACCTGTTTGTTTTATTGTTAATCCATTTACCCTTTGATAAATCATTTTCAGTACAAAAATCAATTACCGGATTAAAAATAATATAATATATTATGAATATAAACTTTAAGGAATTGAAGTAGCTGACTGATAAATTGTGTTTGTAATACGTGTTTATAAATTATGAAACGTAAAGCTACTGGTACAAATATACACAAAATGTTTGATAATTCATAATTTACTTTAAATCCTAAATATGGTGCGTTAGGTATATCGCAATCAAGCGCATTAAGAACAATATGAGATGTCTGTACCATATCTCCCATACCTTTAATGATAATATAGTTTATTTTTAAAGAAGGATAATAAAAATTAATATGTAAGATAATTTTTGTATGACATTGTTTACTTATTAAAATATTAAATTTTATAATTATTAACTCAGTAATTAAATTATTGTTAATATAATTTGATAATAATGAAACATGATAACATATTATTTAGTTTTCAAATAATTGTACGAGTAGCAAGTAATTCATTTATATGCCATGTATTGTAATTAATGAATATTATAAATTTTGAAAGTAAATTTTGTTGCATTTTATTGAAACTCTTTGAATTCATTTGATATACGATTTTTGAGGTCTTTGTAGACTTTAGACCTTTGCTCTGCTGTCGCCTAAAATAAATAATATATAACATATCATAAGTAAAAACAAAATAACAAATTAAAAATATCACCATAAACTCCATATTGCCCTTCACAAAGACCTTATAACAGCAATGCTCCAGTTCCTTTATATATCCCATTAATGCAAAAATCTTTGCCTCTTTAACGAGTGTTTCGCGTGAATTGATTCCTTGTTTGGCGTAAGTGTTGTCCGAAAGTGCATTCATTTCCGCGATATAGGCGTCGATAAAGGCATACATTTGTGGATCAGTCGGGAAATTATTGGCACCAAAATCCGTTCCCGTTTGACACCAATTGATGAAATAGTCGCCGATATCTAAACCCCTATACATATATTTATCTCCAATGCGGACGATTATATTGCGGCGGTTGAGGTCGTTGTGGGAAAACACTTCCGGACTCTTGAGGTGGACGACGGCTTTCCTAACCCACGCCATCTCAGCCACGAAATCCATTTCCATAATTGTTTCACGTCTCTGGCAATCGGTAAGTATTTTGAGTGCATTTTGCCACCTTTTGGGCCAACAGTTTGACGGCAATAGGGTTGAGGTCGTCGTCAACATTGAAATAACGACACTTCATATGAAATATATAATTATTATAATAGAATATTCTATACATTACTAAAGTATAAATAAATACCATGCTCACATCAATATACTCACTGATGAACCCATTTTCAAACATTGTGTATATTTTGGGCGATATATTAATCTCGGTCATTAAGATACTGATAACCGTTTGCTGAGTTATGCCCCGTATTTCTACAAAATCATGGCTCATATATCTTATTAATAGTTTTTTAGGTGTTGTTTCCACATTTGCGGTTAAATAACAACAAAAAAGCTTATTCACAAAACCACCCCTTATTTTGCAATTATAAAATTAACCAGTATAGTCTATTTTGATGTTAGTTTATAACCAGTGTGAGACTTACGTCGTGGGCTTATGACCAGTTGGTCGGCACTAACATCACTCCAATGGCCGCCTAAATGTGTTTTACATAATTCATACACTTTTAGCCGATCTTCAACCGATACACTGATTTCCTTCTGAAATAATTTCAATTTATTTATTTAATATCAAACACTTGAAAATGTTGTTTTGTATTATATAATATTAACGTAATTAGATATAAGTTTTAAATTATTTATAAAATTAGACTTAAGGTTATAATGTATTTAATACTGTAATAACGTTTTCCAAAGAAAAATTATGTTGTACAAAAATAAATATAATTTATCATAAACAAATATTTATGTTTATAAAGAACTTATACTAATTTTTGCAAAAATCATTCAATTGTGTATATACCTGTACTCTGCAATATTCAGTAAGATTTTTGAAATTACCAGGCAATTTATTTTAAGTTTCAACTTATTGTATTTATTTATATGTGCATATATTTTGATTATACATGATTTGGTGAACACTTGAACTTATTATATGTAATTTTAACACATTCATAAAAAGATAATTATGATAAAATATGTTTTTGACTTTTATTGCATATAACTCCCGTAAAAATAACATAGTGTAATAAATATATTTTCTTATATCTTATATTCTTAAATAAAAATATCTTATATTTTAATTAGTAAATTTATATTAATACAATTGTTGGTTATTATCATAAAACTTAACTAACATGATATAAGTGCATGTGTTCACAGTATTAGTTATACGCACCGATTGTTATATCATAATTTCAGTGTGAAAAGTATGATTACATTTTGATGCAAGTGCATTTTAAAATTATTGGACACAGATCAAATATCTCTATAATCTTTAACCAATCACACATAAACTAATTGCTTTAGAAAATTTTACAATTATTTAATTCATATATAAACCAAACTTTTTACAGTAAACTACAATCTCATACAACATCAACATTAAGATAATGAAAACTGCATAGCACTACCATTCACATATGCTACCAGTCCACTGGGAGTCATCACACAAGTAACATAAAAATACTTTAAATAAAATGTTTGAAAAAATAATCCAAAAAATGGTCGACCAATTGACTTCCGACACATATGAGGCCTGGTACCGGAGACTACAGTAGTTCCAAACCTGCCATTCCTTACTCAAGAAGTAGTTGACACGAGATATCTCCCGACCCCGAGTCATACACCCTGTTCACCCTGCTTGCGCAATTTAAGAAATATATTTGTATTAAAAAAGGTTTTTAATTGTTTAGCATGAGAATTACTGGGTGGGGTGGAGGGTGATACAAACCAAAACTATAACTCACTTTATAAAATTTAATTCAATGTCAATTAGGTTTATCTAATCAAACATAAGTTAACAAACAAATATGAAAACCCGTACACATGTGCTATGCATTACAAGTGAATACGATATCAATATGACGTTATTTTAATATAATGAGAGAGAGAGAGAGAGAGAGACTTTACTGTACTCTATAATAAAGTAACTGATAATTTATTATATCCAACGAATTCTTTACTTCAGTTTATTAACTCATAATTGTTAGCATAGATGTGAAAAAGTAACAAAACATTAAGTAAAATACCTTTTTTGTAACATTGAAACTATCTGCCAGCTGTAGTAACAGTAATTGTAGATTTTATATTAGTTTTCTAAATATCAAATTCAATTTAACCTTATAATCAATTGTATATAGATCTGACACATAGATTTTTTAAAATTAATCACAAAAAATAAAGTTTTGGTTATTATAGTATAAAATATCTCAATATTTATTAAAGCTTAATATTTAATTAAATTTAAATAAAATAAAACATTTTATGCTTATTCACTATGCTTATTTATCTAATATGAATTTTAAAATATTTTCAAGGTTTGATTACATTATAATATAGTATTGGGTTTAATAATTTTAAAAATAAAATTTAAAATCCACTTAAAAATTAGTTATCATTATATTTGATACAATTTATAATTTGCGTGCTTTTAATATTCACTTATTTTTATAATGAATCAAAATACATAAGAATTTTATAATATGCAAAATGCTTGCTGAATTACATTAAGGTGCACAATGCATGTCCAATTCATATTAATCATTCACTAGAAACCAGTTTAGTTAACACATGCACTTCATAATTGCCTAATAAATGTAATACAATTTTTATTATTATATAAATAATTATATATTTTTATAATACTTTTTATTACAGTAAATAAGTATATAAAGTATATAAAGTTGCATTTTTAATACTAATATAATATTTCAATGAATTCTTACAATTATTTCAAAACTTTTATACAATATTTATAGAGATGTTTTAAAATGAGTAAAATATAAGTTTTAAATAAAAATTGGATTAAGATATGGATGAAGAAAAGCTTATCAACAAGCCCTCGAAATTCGACCAGGCTAACATTTTTAGTAAAGCCTATTGCATGTAAAATTTACTTTTTATTAATAAAGTAATTAATTAAATTTTACTATTTTTAACAAATATTTAGCTGGATCTTTTCAGTATTTTTTCGACGTCTCAAAAAGGAGTTCGCAATTAACGACTTATATAAATGCCCCAAATCTGATGAATGCCAACAACTGGTACTCACATTAGAAAGGTTTGAAAATTTGTATTTTAAAATAAATTTTAAAATTTTAAAATTGTTTATAAGAAATTGGAAAAATGAGTCAAAGAAAAGTAGCCCCAGTTTCCTGAGGGCTAACCTCAAAACATTTTGGGCACAAATGTTGGGACCATTTTCGCTATACTTCTTTTTGGTATAAAGAATTTAATTTGATTTTTAATTTTTAAACTAATAATTAATAATAAATCTGATTATTGTTATTCATTACACATAGGAATGTGTACTTAAAAGTTTTCAGCCAATTATGTTGGGTGTAGTAATCCGCTACTTTGCCAAACCTGACCAGGTTGATTATAAAACTGCGTGTATGTGCGCGGGTGGTGTGGTGGGCGCCTCATTCCTGACCACCACATGCCAACACCCGGCGTCCCTTATGGGGCTTAGGTTGGCCACCAAGTTAAGGGTCACCTGGTGTACGCTCATGTATAAAAAGGTATGTCTAATTTATGTACTGTATATAAATTCCTTAATTGTAAGCAATACAATATTACCTGGCTTATATTGATAGACGGGTTCAATTATAGTTTATTGCTAAAACAATTAAGTGTTGTTCATTGTTTTAGCAAAGCTGTAATAGAAATTGTTTATTTATGTAGTATATCATTGGACCTATTGTTATACGTTATACCCGTTTACTTGAATTTGTTTTTCAAATGAAATCATTTTCCAAACTAAAAGGCAATAAAACTAAAGCCGTCGGCGTTTGGCGAGACAACAGTCGGACAGATACTGAACTTAATGTCCAACGATGTCAGCAGATTTGATGCGGTATTTGTGAATAACACATAATTTTAATATCAAATTAGTGTATACATGAATTTAGTATACATTTCCTAATTATAAAAATCTATTTCATAGTTTATCATGAACTCTTCCTATGCATTGGTGGCACCAATTCAGTGCATAATCGGTATATACATTTGCTACCTGTATATCGGTTGGGTATCATTCATAGGACTGGTCATACTATTGCTGTTCATACCGTTTAACAGTATTATATCACGTATATTTTTAGCTATTAGGTGGGATATACACCCTCAGCACATATCCAGTTAGTAAAATACTAAATAATTGCATATTTAGGACAAAAGTGGCCACACTTTCGGATAATAGGATACGTTTGATGAGTGAAATCATTAGAGGTATCCGAGTCATCAAAATGTATGCCTGGGAACGACACTTCGCTAATATGCTATCGGAAGCCAGGAGGTTAGTCCCAAATTATTTACAACAAGCCACTTACAATCTGATTTAATTGCCCTGCTAACTAACAGTAAGGAGATGACCCAGATCAAATGGGCCACACTATTAAAGGGCGTCAACTTTTCCATCTCATTAATGGCCGCTCGGGTCATACTGTTCACGATATTCATAGTACACGTGTCGGCCGGACATCACTTGGAGGCTGAGGGGGTGTTCGTAACGATGGCTATATTCAATACATTGAGACATACGATGACCGGGCTATTCCCCATAGCAGTGTCGTACGGCTCCGAATTGTATGTCTCCTGCGGGAGGGTTCAGGTCTGACAACAATTATTGGGAAATATTTGAGAAATTTGTTTGATTTTAAATTTTTGAATGTTTTGTTAAATTATAGCGATTTTTATTGTTAGAAGAGATTGATGTGAAAGCCGTTGACTATAATAAAGAGATTATCCATAATAATAATGACTCGCAAAATGAGTCCGGTGGTAATCCCAACACCATTCAAGTGGACAGTATGTCCGCCAAATGGAATTCCGTCAGTAAAATACAATTTATAACACAATTAATAAATAATTAAATTTATTTTATTAGGACTCAGACATAGAAACTATTAAAAACATATCGCTATCTGTGAAACGCGGGGAACTGTTAGCAGTCATTGGGCCGGTAGGTGCCGGAAAGGTATGTCCACTAATAATACAATCTAATGAACACATTATCACGAAATTTATCTCAAATTTAGAGCTCATTCCTGATGTCTCTGATGAACGAGATTGAAGTGACTGCCGGTGCTGTCGATGTCACCGGCGATATAGCCTATGCTTCACAGGAGTCGTGGACTTTCAACGCAAGTATTTTACAGAATATTCTGTTTGGAAAGCCATACGATTCCCGCAAATTCCGGGAAGTCATGTCTGTCTGTGCGATGGAAAGGGATTTAAAACTATTTCCATTTGGAGAGAAAACATTAGTCGGGGAAAGGGGTGTGTCATTAAGTGGTGGGCAAAAGGCTAGACTTACATTAGCACGGTTAGTTAGGCCATGTCAAATTAATTGGAAAGGGATTTAAAACTATTTCCATTTGGAGAGAAAACATTAGTCGGGGAAAGGGGTGTGTCATTAAGTGGTGGGCAAAAGGCTAGACTTACATTAGCACGGTAAGTTAGGCCATGTCAAATTAATCAAATTAACATTGCTTATTGTTATTAATAATGTGTTTCATGACTGACATACCAGTGCTCTCTATAATGACGCTGACATCTACTTATTGGACGACCCGTTAAGCGCCGTCGACTCGGAAGTGGCGAAACATATCTTTGAAAAGTATATACTATTTGTAATCAAATTAATAGTTTTTGTCAACAATTAGTCAAATATTTTCTCAGATGTATCACAGAATACCTGAAAACAAAAACCGTTGTATTAGTGACACATCAAATCCATTTCATCAAAAAAGCCACAAAAATACTTGTCCTCAAAGAGGGCCGACCCCTGGCTTTTGGATCCTATGACCAGTTGTGCGAATCGGGCGTTGATTTCATATCACTTATCAGTGAAGAAAAGTCAGTGAATGAGCAAAAAGTGGAGACAATACATGAAGACATCCTAAAAATTAACAGAAAGAGGACTATTAGTACCCTATCGTTGACCAAAACTGAAGTATTTTTCATAATAATTAACATTTTTATAAATTTTATAAATTTTTGGATTTTATTATTTTGATGTTTAGTCCGATTCCGACTTAAATGATCCCAAAATAGATGATGAGAGCAAAGCTACCGGTTCTGTACCCGGTCGGGTGTATTGGGATTACATGAGGGCAGGGGCCGGTCCTTTCCTACTGACCACTACAATACTGTCGACACTGGTATCTCAGGCACTGTTTCATTACAGCGATATATGGCTGACGGACTGGTACTCAACTAATTGTTATGTGAATTATTAATCGAAAATATTTGAAATAACTTTCCATTTCAGGACTAATGCTGAGGACAGAAGGGATAGGGATGAGGATTACGACCAAACAAATAATATAATCATATATTCGGTGATAATAATCGTCACATTCACGACACTAATCATACGGTCGGCCACTTTCTTCCTCATGTGTGTCAAGGCGTCCGTCAAACTACACAACAGTATATTCTTTAAGCTTATGAGAGCACCGGTAGCTTTCTTCGACCACAACCCTGTCGGTAGGCATTCCCGGAATTTACGGGGTTTAAACATTGTCACAGAATTTATAATTGCATTGAAATTTAGGCCGAATTCTGAACCGATTCACGAAAGACGTCGGAATAGTCGACGAACAGTTGCCCTCCTGTTTGTATGACTTGAATCTGGTAAGAGTTCCCCTCAATATACTCTAACAATTGCAAGATTATTAACAAACTTACAATAATTACCTAGATCACCACCCAGATCATTGGTACGGTAGTAGTGGTGGCGCTGGTGAACTGGTACCTCACGTTTCCGGCAATTCTTATGATTTTCTTGATTCTGCAAATTCGTTGGCTGTATATAAAAACCGGTAGAGATCTCAAGCGATTTGAAAACACAGGTATTATATGAGAGACGTCTACCTGTATGTCATTAATTACTAACCCTGGTGATTTACAATAACTAGTCCGGAGTCCACTGTACAACCACATGACCACAACTCTCAACGGTTTGCCTACAATCAGGGCGTTTAGGGCGGAAGACATGTTTCAGCGCCAGTACTACCGCTATCAGGACGACCACACGGCCACGTATGTCATGTGCTTCTGTAGCTCACGAGCACTTGGTATACAATAAAAGCTAACTGTCCACTCATTTCCTAAAATTACTCAAATTCTTTCATAAATAGGCGTAACTATGGACTGGATATGTGTGATGTATATTGGTTTAGTGGCACTGTTTCTAATGATATTCCCCGAGGGTATCCACCCCTACACCCATTCATTTGTTTAGCAATTATTAAATTTACGCTTCATTTGTAGGACTTCCCGGAGGTTCGGCGGGTTTAGCCCTAACCATGGCTATCGGGATGACTAACTCGACGCAGTGGGGGGTCCGGCAGTCGGCCGAAGTCGAGAACCAAATGACTTCCGTCGAGCGGATCGTCGAATACAGTCGACTCGAATCGGAGGCCCCACTCGAGACCCCAACCAAACCCCCACCAAATTGGCCACAGGAGGGGGTCATTGAGTTGAGGGGCGTATCCCTAACCTACGAAAACTCCCCAAAACCCACGTTAATAGACCTGAATTGCGTGATAAGAGGCGGCGAGAAGGTAGGGATTGTCGGTCGTACGGGTGCCGGAAAGTCATCGATACTGTCGGCGCTGTTTCGTACGCACGAGTGCGAGGGGACTATACTCCTCGACGGGGTCGACACCAAACAGATAGGTCTACACGACTTGCGCCGTACAGTTGCCCTCCTGTTTGTATGACTTGAATCTGGTAGGAGTTCCCCTCAGTGTACTCTAACAATTGCATGATTATTAACAAACTTAAAATAATTACCTAGGTTACCACCCAGATCATTGGTACGGTAGTAGTGGTGGCGCTGGTGAACTGGTACCTCACGTTTCCGGCAATTCTTATGATTTTCTTGATTCTGCAAATTCGTTGGCTGTATATAAAAACCGGTAGAGATCTCAAGCGATTTGAAAATACAGGTATTATATGAGAGACGACTACATGTATGTCATTAATTACTAACCCTGGCGATTTACAATAACTAGTCCGGAGTCCACTGTACAACCACATGACTACAACGCTCAACGGTTTGCCTACAATCAGGGCGTTTAGGGCGGAAGACATGTTTCAGCGCCAGTACTACCGCTATCAGGACGACCACACGGCCACGTATGTCATGTGCTTCTGTAGCGCACGAGCACTGGGTATACAATAAAAGCTAACTGTCTACTCATTTCTTAAAATTACATAAATTATTTCATAAAATAGGCATAACTATGGACTGGATATGTGTGGTGTATATCGGTTTAGTGGCACTGTTTCTAATGGTGTTCCCCGAGGGTATCCGCCATTACAGCCATTCGTTTGTTTAGCAATTATTAAATTTACGCTTCATTTGTAGGACTTCCCGGAGGTTCGGCGGGTTTAGCCCTAACCATGGCTATCGGGATGACTAACTCGACGCAGTGGGGGGTCCGGCAGTCGGCCGAAGTCGAGAACCAAATGACTTCCGTCGAGCGGATCGTCGAATACAGTCGACTCGAAT